GTTCTGATTAGTATGTCTTCAAATCTTTTCTTTCTTTACCACATTTTCAATCTTCTCTTTTATTTCTAGAAATTAAAGTAAGCACTCTTGTTTTGTATTTTGGGCTTGGTAATTCCAATCTCTCAAGTCTTTGCTGGTCTAATTCTCTGCCATCTGTTTTTCATTGCTTTTGTTTATAGTCTCTTGTTTTCTTGTTTATGAGTTGTTTTGATAGTGAGTTTTTTTATTTCTTTTAGAATTCTGTTTTTATTCTTTTTCTTCTTTTCCATTTTCTTTCTTTTCTCTTTCTGGTATCCCTATTAGTTGGATTTTGACCTTTCCTCCCTGATTGATCTTCCATGTATCTTACCTTCCTTTTGTATTTCCTTCTGTCTTTTGCTTAATATCCAGAAAAAGAAAATGTTTTCAACCTTACATTCTAGATTCCAGACTTCAGGTATTTATATTAATTTTTTAAGTTTCATTGGCCATATTTAAATTCTCAAGTTCATTCCCTAATGACTTCTTTTTCATGCCATTCTGTTCCCTTTATATTTAATACAAATAATTTCAATTTTTTTCTGAAGGCTGTAATGATACTTGCAATTTTTTTCTTCTGTTCTTTGAATTAATATATTGATTCCCTTAGGGCCATTCCTTCTCTTTGATGCTCCTTGGTTATATATTCACATTTTTGAATGAAAATGGGTTGGTTAATGAAGGTAAATGATGTGAATTTCCTGTACTGGTACACTGATCTCTTTTCCTAACACTCCTTTGCCTTGGAGGGAAGGGCTGATTTAGAGCTCTTTGTAAGTGGATAGGGTTTGGTGACTCAAAGGCTTTATTTAGGGTTCAGAAGAGAGGCCTCAGGCAAGCTGGGAGCCCTAACCCTACACTCCAACAAAAGTAGGAAGTACTTCAGTCTGAGTATTAGTATTTTTTGTTTCCATCTTCAGCAAACTTGACTCTTCTTTTGCCAACCATACATGTCTATTTTTAAGGTCTGGTGTCATCTCAGAATCTGTTCTGCTTCTCTCTTATTAAAGTTCCAGTCGTTAAGTGGAACTTCGGGTCAGCTCTTCATTTTCTTAGTAAATGTAACTAATTTTTTTTGTCTTTTGGATTTTTGGGGGAGAAAAACCAGACTGGATGCTCTGTATAAGAAAACAGTTAGGATGGGGGTTGAGGTAATTGGTAGAAGAATGACCCAGGTCTTCCTATCTTGCTCACAATCCATGCCTATCTATTCTTTCTTGGGAATAAGTGGCAATATGGAGTCTCTCCTAGAGCTCCCTAGGATAGTTTCCACCACTATTAGAACTTGTTCCTGTTTTTTTCATCATTTTCCTTTCTTTCTTTTTCTGGGTCATGATCTTCCCTGCCAGGATGATCAAACAGTATGGTCCTTTCTGCTTCTGTTTTCCAGAAACTCAACAGAACTTCTGGTTTGTTGATTGCATCCCCTCGTGTTCTCAGTGCTATTATGGATTTATTTCCATTACTATAGCTTTTGGTTAGCTAAATGGGGATTCTAAAGAAAGGGGAAGAGGTGCTTATGCGTAGTCTTCCTCTTGAACAGGACACTCTCATAACTTTAAAAAAACACAGACAGATATCATCTATTTTAATATTTAAGTTTCTCAATGCTTAAAAAGCTTATATTTTATAATATTAAATTAATCAGTAATTCAACAAAATGACTAGAGTATCATCTTTTTTTTTTTTTCAACGTTTATTTATTTTTGAGACAGAGAGAGACAGAGCATGAACAGGGGAGGGGCAGAGACAGAGGGAGACACAGAATCTGAAACAGGCTGCAGGCTCTGAGCAGTCAGCACAGAGCCTGATGCGGGGCTCGAACTCACGGACTGTGAGATCATGACCTGAGCCGAAGTCCCGAAGTCGGATGCTTAACCGACCAAGCCACCCAGGCGCCCCTGGAGTATCCATCTTTTAAAGGATTTGGATTAAAAGAATTTCTGTTTAATTCACACACTCTTTCCCTTTAGTATCGACATACATACTTTTCCTAATTTCAAAAAGAAAAAAAGCATTGACGTGGGGCGCCTGGGTGGCTTAGTCGGTTAAGCGTCCAACTTCGGTTCAGGTCGTGATCTCACTGTTCGTGGATTCAAGCCCCATGTCAGGCTCTGTGCTGATAGTTCAGAACCTAGACCCTGCTTCAGATACTAGGTCTCCCTCTCTCTGTCCCTCTCTCTCTCTCTCTCTCTCTCTCTCTGTCTCTCTCAAAAATAAACATTAAAAAAAAAAAAAGCTTAAAAAAAAAAGGAAAAAAGCACTGACCTAAAGTGGTGATGCTTAGTCCGTCAATCCACACATACATATTTGTGTTTGGTGTCTCTGAAGTTCAGTTTTTTTTTTTTTTTTCTATTTTCTACCTATTTACTGGAGTCAGAATTCCAGAAATATTCCAAACAATAATGATTCCAAACCAAAAATAAAACACAGCACTGGAACTACTGGTGGCATCAGCTCTCCTAAAGTTTTAAATATGCCATAATCTATAGAAAAAGCTCAGATTTTTGGGGCGCCTGGGTGGCTCAGTCGATTAAGCGGCCGATTTTGGCTCAGGTCATGATCTCGCGGTCTGTGAGTTCGAGCCCCACGTCGGGCTCTGTGCTGACAGCTCAGAGCCTGGAGCCTGTTTCAGATTCTGTGTCTCCCTCTCTCTGACCCTCCCGCGTTCATGCTGTGTCTCTCTCTGCCTCAAAAATAAATAAACGTTAAAAAAAAAATTAAAAAAAAAAAAGAAAAAGCTCAGATTTTTAAATAGTGGTATTACCTTTTTATAGATGTACTTGGCTTTTGGGGGATTATTTGGGGAAAAAAAATCTCCCTACCCCTAGAAAAGAGGAAGTCAATCACAAATTTCCCTAGACAACGAAATGCCAGAGAGTATACCACACAAGGCAGGTGTCACTTCACATTTCATACAAGATGGGGTCTGCTTTACATAATCGAAACTGTAGTATAAGCATGAGGATTTATGACATGCCATAAAAATATGCCAGATGCATACAAAGTCAAAGTATATAGTTCTTGGACAAGAATTCAAATCCACTGTGAAATGACAGGGGTCAAGGTAGTGAAATACAGTCTGTTGTCTTTGGGGTAGAGATCCTGGAATACAAATCCTGGCAGTCATTTTTCATTTAGCCATGTGATCCTGGGTTAGTTACTGTCTTCAAAATCTCATTTTCATCATGTGTAAAATGGGGATGGTAACGCCTACCTTATATGGCTATGGTTAGGATTAAGTGAAATAACACATCAAGGCACTGGAACATAGAAAAGACTCAACAGCTATTTCCTTTGTTCTTTATGTCAAAAACTCTAAGCTCAGGGAAAGTACATTCACTCATCGATTATGTTCTCTTTACTCTGAACTGTTTAAGTTCAAATGGAAAGAAACAGTGAGGAAAGTAATGGCAACTCTTCTGTATACTCTAGCATGTTTTTTAGTATGTTCATAAGGCATATGATGCTGATACTGCACATCTCATGAAGGACTTAATCAGGCATTTCTTCTAATTTCTTTTCTTACCAGTGAATTTATAGTCTTCAGATTTCAAGTCCCTTGGCCTTTTGCCACTTCACCAGTGCTTGTGCTCACAGCAAATCCCAAAAGAGGGTGGGATAATTAAGTGATATTGCCTTTGTGTCATTATGCCATCATTCCCCTTCCCTGACCTTTCTCTAGCTGTGCATTAAAAGTCCGGGCTTCCTAACACATTTGTCTGGATGTCTTTTCTCCTCAAGCCTTCTGTCTCACAGACGCTCAGTGGGTGAGCCTCAGTTCCAAAGATGCATTTACTAGCTCAGAGTGATTTTCATGTTCAAACATAGCTTTGTAATTGGCAAGGGGTGCTCTTAGCTGAATGGCTGGTTTTGAGACTAACAATGCCCAGTCTTTGTGAGTGTGCTTTCATGATATGGACAATTTTTTAATTAAAAAATTTTTTTTAATGTTTTATTTATTTTTGAGAAAAAGAGAGAGACAGAGTGTGAGTGGGGGAGGGGCAGAAAGAGAGGGAGACACAGAATCCGAAGCAGGCTCCAGGCTCCGAGCTGTCAGCACAGAGCCCGACGTGGGGCTCGAACTCACTGACCATGAGATCATGACCTGAGCCGAAGTTGGACATTTAACCAACTGAGCCACCCAGGTGCCCCGGGTTATGCATTTTTAATGCTCAAGGGGGCGCCTGGGTGGCGCAGTCGGTTAAGCGTCCGACTTCAGCCAGGTCACGATCTCGTGGTCCGTTGAGTTCGAGCCCCGCGTCGGGCTCTGGGCTGATGGCTCAGAGCCTGGAGCCTGTTTCCGATTCTGTGTCTCCCTCTCTCTCTGCCCCTCCCCCGTTCATGCTCTGTCTCTCTCTGTCCCCAAAATAAATAAACTTTGAAAAAAAAGAAGATACTAACACCAATTACTTCATGCCAAAGAAGAGAACTAAAACACTACTTCATGAAATAACATTCTCTCTTTGACGATAAAGCCCGTATGTTTTATTGGACACTGGTTTCAATAAAAAATTCCTTCTTAGATATTGCAGCCTGCCTATCTCTGGAAGAGGGCATGATATCTTCATGCATTCTAAGGTCATTTATCTTGAGGTCTTCTAACTTGTTCTCTTGGCCCACTCATTTTTTTTCAATTTAGGTAACTCATTAGTTGTCTTTAAAGGTTTTTTTCCCTCCTCATATACCAGAGACCAACCATAATAGAGCATAGTGTTCCTTCCTCCTAGCATTCCTTTGAAATTCACCATTTTATGTTTGGCACCTCCTTCCCTTGAATAAAGATGGAGGAGCACTCAAGATCACCTTGAATCTTATCCATTTGGGCAGTACTTGAACAAATGGTCCTCTTTTCCCCGACTTGATTTTGGTTTTTTGGTGAAATTCCTTCTCAACCTACAGTCTATTGCATGCACCTTCCCTTCCTCACCCCCTCCATCTCCCACCCTCCATATATGAAGCTGTAGAGAAGTCTTTCTTACTTGGATTATTGTGTCCAGAGGAAACAAGCTGAGAGTCCTAAAAGAACAAGAAATATCAATTAATTTTCTCATTTTGACTTTCAAAATCTAAGTTGAGTATGAGGTCTACTACTAGTCACCCAGACCCTAATCTCTAATCATGATCTCTACTGTAATGAGAAACATTTATCTCAATGTCCTGGCTAAGCAGTTCTGGTAAAACAGTTCAGAACCATTTATCTTTTGTGTTGTAGACTTCTGTTTATTGAGGTGAAATTCGTGTAACAAAATTAACCACCTTAAAGTGAATAGTTCAGTGGCACATGGTGTGCCACAATTACCTCTATTTGGTTGCAAAATATTTCCATCATTCCTAAATAAAACTCCTTGCCAGTTAGGCAGTATCTCTTCATTCCCCCGGCTCCCCTCAGGCCCTGACAACCACCAATCTGCATCCTAAATTTATCTATTTTGGATATTTTGGGGAGTGGAATCACAAAATATGTGACCTTTGGTGTCTGGCTTCTTTCACTTAGCATAACGTTTTGGCAATTCATCCAATACTTCACTCCTCTTTATGGCCAAATAATATTCCATTCTATGTATATACAACAGTTCATTTAGCCATTCATCCATTAATGGATATTTGGGCTGTTTTCACCTTTTGGCTATTGTGAATAGTGCTATGTACACACATGTGTATGTAGCTGTTTCAGTCCCTGTTTTCAGTCCTTTTGGGTATAGACCTACAAATGGAATTTGTAGGGTCATATGGTAATTCTATATGAAACTTTTTGAGGAGCTACCAAACTGTTTTTCAAAATGACTGAATCATTTTTCATTTTTACCAGCCATGTATGAGGGTTCTGGTTTCTTCACATCCTCACCAACACTTGTCATTTTCTTTTAATTTTTAGAAACTTTATCATAGCAATCTTAGTATGTGTGCTTTGATATATATATTTCCCTAACATTTTCATGTTTTTGTTAGACATCTTATATCTTCTTTGGAGAAATATCTATTTAAGTACTTTGCCCATTTTAAACTGGGTTGTTTGCCTTTTTGTTGTTGAGTTGAAAGAGTTCTTTATATATTCTGGATAATAGACTCTTATCAGACATATGATTTACAAATATTTCCTCCCATTCTGTCAGCTGTCTTTTCACTTTATTGGTAATGTCCTTTAATGCACAGTTTTTTTTTTCACTCGTTCCAAAACTCCAACAGTTTAATAACAAATGCTTCCTCACCCTCACCCCATCACATAATGTACAGAAGTTTTTAATTTTAATGAAGTTCAGTTTATTTAATTTTTGTTGTCATTGTTCATGCTTTTGGTGTCATATCTGAGAATCTGCTGCCAAATCCAAAGTCATAAATTTATCTGTATGTTTCCTTCCATGAGGTTTATGGTTTTAGTTCATATTTATTATATTGCTGACTTTTAATCTAACCCACTTCCCTTTGATTCTCTACTCTCATCACCTTTCTGCAGATGAGGCCAGCATCCAGGCCCCCAGGGACACTCCACTGAACAACTGTTATCAGTCTCATATTGGTGGACGGAAAGATTACTACAGATTTCCACTTACCTGAAACGGTGGAAAGTCAGTACTCCATAGTATTTTGAGTTTAGTTACTGTTTAGGTAAATAGTGATTGAATCTCATTTTATTTGCATTAAAGTGGAATTCTAAATTTTGTTTTGGGAATTCACATCCTTCTTCCTTGCAAAATTCCCGTTTAGTATGAAATATAAGGAGAGTTACGAAAGAATGAATTAATTGAGATGGTAGGAATGTAAAAGAATAAGCACAGCATATAAAATCCAGTGGAACTTCTTTATAATTTTAGTGCATGGGACAAAAACTGAGTGAAATGGAATTCACTTCTATTATATAGTTTAAAATATTTTACTAGAAGTTTGCTCCATGAATATGTTTGTCATGGGACAGGAGATGTCCTTTAATGTGACTTGTTGCATATTCAAACCTATGTGATGTTTTAAAAAGGAATCCACTGGAACAGTACAAAACCAGCCAGACTATTGGGTGGGGGCTGGGTGGGAAAGTCAGGAGCGGAAGGGATTCCCACTCTGCTAGGCTGACTGAATCACACACAGATGCTTTTAATATCAGTGTTGGTAATAATGAGCTATTCATCTGCAGAAAAAGAAGAAGCTCAACTCTTAACCTGAGATTCAGGTTTTGGAAACAGTGTATTAAAATGAAATACACTGCTGGTCCTGAACTGATGGGCTAAAGTATAATCCTCATAAATAAATGATTTGGCCCTACTTTGGATAGTTGGTACTAAGAAGATGTCCACAGTTAAATCCTTCAAATGGACTGGTATGTTTTCCATCTTTTCTAATTAATTTAGAGTTTATATCTGAACATAAATTAATGTTAGCTTTGATATGTGAAAAGTACTTTGAGTTCTATGTAATCGACTCCTCTGAGCCATGGGTAGATTTTGACATACTGAAGGTGTCTTGTACTAGAGAGGTAAATACTCACTCACCATCAAATAGACAAACATGGTAACTGAGATAGTTTTCAGCATTAAGTTTATTCTTAAAAGAAAAAGCAGGAATTTTTGTGAGACTGTTTACTGACACTCTTGGGAAATAGCTCATTTTATTTCTGGGTACACGTTAGATACCCTAAACCTCAGATGATGACTACAGACCATAGACTCTGAGCAGAGAACCAAAAATAAGCTCACAGATGACCTGAATTATAATTACATACTGTAAGAGCATACATTTCAGAGATCATGAACTTTGAATTTTACCTAAAACATTTGTGTAATTAATGATGATTATTGTTTCTATTTTGTGTGGGTAGTGAAGAAAGGTAGAAAATGATTAAAGTAATTGGTGAGAAAAAATCACCATATAAGTCTGCCCTTCTGGAAAGAAGGAAACTTCTGGAGATGCACAATAAAATAAAGGCTTTGTTCTAATATGTAATGTCATGTTCGTAACTGAGGTCTTCTGGGTGGTGCACTGAACCAACAAATACTAGCTTGAAAATACTGGCTCTAATCCCAGTGTTTCTTGACCATGGCACTCTGTGGGTACGAATGATGTCCCATTGTCATCCTTACCGACATTGGGCTAGCATGTAGCCAGTTGGCTGGTGGAGGGTGTGAGTTACCTTATGAGCCTTCTCCCAAGATTAGGTCCCAAGGACACTGTCCTCATTTTGATTAGGTCTCTGCTGGCCAACAACAGGGCCTGTGGCTGCTGCTTCTTGAAGGAATCCTGCCCTGCGTAGGTAGCTGCAAAACCCTGCGGCTACCACAGAGTGTACAGATCCTTCATCCTTCACTAAGCCAGAGCCAGACTGGGTTCAGAGTAGAGGGAAACAAAGCTCCTCCCTCCCAAAGGCCCAGGCACTTATATCCTTCCCATGTTATACTACCTGCCACGCCACCCAGACACCCAGACACCCATACACCTATAGCTTCTGTCTCAAAGGCCTCTCTCTCTTTCCTTTCTCTCAAAGGCTCTTACTAAGTTTTCCATAAGTAGCTTAGGGAGTTGCTAACCCCATCTGTGCATTTTTATTTTAGACTCCTCTGGGAGCACTCTACAAGGTCTGCAAGGTTCTGTCAGGCACCTTAAGAGTTATAGAGTGAGTGCACCAAATCCCTGCCTATAGGGCCTGGGTGTCTGGTGAGTTAGTAGTGGAGATGATGTGTATACAAAATATTATAACCTAGGGCTGAAAGGGATGTCATGACTGCTCTGCAAGAGTGCTTCAAGCCTTTGCAGGCTTTCCTTGTCCTTGGGGATGCATGTCCTGCCATTTTCTGTTTTCTGCTTGGTAAACTTCATTCTTTCTTCAAGGCTCAGAATAAAAAAGCTCAAGAGTTACGTGCTCTTTGAAATCTTCCTGAATCTCAGAAGGACTTATCTGCTTTATGTTTTCACTGTACTGTGTCATACTGCCACTACAGAAATGATCTTTTCAACTATGACTCTTTAAAAAAAAAAGACAAGCTCAGCTTTATTAAGGTACAAATTGCATGACATAAATTGCACATATTTGAAGTGTACAACTTGATAGTAAATATCATCAAAAGAATGCTACTATTATTACTGTCTTGACCCAAGGGGGGCTTTATCTTATTAAGGAGCATTTACTTACTTAAAGAAACAAACAAAAGTAATATCTATTCATTAAAGAAAATTCAGAAAAGGAGTAAAGTATTAAAAAAAAAGTTGCCTGCAATCCTGTAACAGGACATTGCTAAGGTTAATTGAATGCTTCTGGTTTGCCAGTGTCATTCATCAAGTGTGCATCATTCTGACACTTGCACAAAGGGGAGAGCCTCTTCTGGTTACTTACAAGGGTATCTACAGATGGAATTTATTCTTCTCTGTCTCTGAGTCCTGAATTCCCAACATCTAAAGTATCATTTGGTATTGGGAATCCTAAACCTTCTTTACATGTGGTGTTTATCTGGAAAGTAAAGTTCGTATAAATCATTTTGCTGGAGATGGAAATAACCAAGCACCCTGGTATCTGAGAAAGCCCTTCAATGAAGCACTGTAATAAAGACTATATTTCATCAGATGTAACATGCCATCAAAACTGTAGGAGGCTACATTCCCTCATGTATTACTATGAAAGAAAATTACTGCCAAGTAATTGTAAGACATCATCAACTATAAAACAAATCCTGATTTTAGGGAATTTAAAATCTAAAAAAAATATCTACCTGAGATCAATAAAACACAGAAGTTCTTAAGCCATGTAGCTTAAGGAGGATCCTTATACTGTGAGATACTACTTAAAAATGGCTTTTGGGGACCATTTGAGGACTGCTCCACTCATATCACTCCTTGCTTGTCTATCAATCAATCATTAGAATTATAAAAGGCAAGAAATAGAACTATATCTTCTCTTATTTTCAGACCCACACATAAAGCTAGTCACTACAGGAAAAAGAATTACCTGATTTGGGATCTCCCGTCACTCCCACCTATCACTTTCTTCTCATTCTTTTCAGTAAAGCTCAGAAGAGTTGAAATAATGTAATTTATAA